ATGTTTATGATTTTGTATCTTGTCTTAATTATAATTTTTTGTAGACTCCTTATTTGCTTACTGTAAACAGTCGACCGGCGGGTTAGTGCCTATATTAACTGTGTACCTTTATATTCATATATTTATAATTTATATATTTATTTATATCATATCTATTTTACATACCTTATATTAATTCGTTTTACAATACAATGTCTGATGATGGTTCCTTTTACTCGGTTTCTGAATCAGATTTATCATTTAAGTCCACTGAAGACTCGGTAACAGAATCGGTTAGCCTAAACACGTTTATTGGTCAATAAATTACACATTCCTATAAATAGTTCAATGATTGCCACATCAATTCGCAGAGCTTACCACAGCATTTCTCCGAACTTCTTCATATTATTACCGAGACGATCTCTATTTTCGACTTCTTGTAGTATATCCGGGTTTGTGCTATTATGAAATGATAGACTAGGAAACCGAGGTGGTGGAGTGGCGATCTACCTTCGCTTTGGTGTCGCTTATAAAGTTATTGCTTCTTCTCCTTTTTGAGCTTCTGGATCTCTTGAGTATCTCTTCGTAGAAGTTCTCTTAAATGCAAACAATATTATTCTTGGAGTTGCATATTCTTCGCCTTCAGTTAACTATTTTCTTGACCTTAAGTCTGCTATCATGAATATCGCATCTGAGTATGCAAATCATATACGAGTAACTAATCCTGACGACCTTGATGACACTTGGAATGATCAGTTGTTGGGGAGTTTTCTGTCGAGTAATTCTCAGTAGTAGCTCGGAGTCAGGAAATTGGCTATAAAGCAATTGTGTATGGATTATATTGTTTTTATTATTACGTTGTTATTATTATTGTGATATCTATATAATTTTCTCATCTGGTTGGGTTCTATCAATATATAATTATAATTTAAAATGAAAAGATAAATATACGTAAATATCAATAAAATAAAATAAATACAAAAATACATAATTTTTTTAAGGAAAAACGAGGAGTCTCCCGCTATAACTATAAATTACGAAAAAGAATCATTAAAAATTGTATGATAAGATTAATTTTGATAGTATTAGCATGCTATGTTTTAATATTAACAGTTACATATTTAACATATAAAACAACACTCACGATTTACACATCCATTATTACATACATCAAAATCTTACATTCACACACATCTTTCAAAATTTACAGCAATGCTGAATATTTACACCAATATGCCCTACAAAAGAAATGTATAAGCTACCATTTCTTACCTTGTATAAAAATAAAATTCCTGTCTGTTGCAAAACCATCCCTCATGACTCTTCAACCTGTATTATTTCTGTTACATAATATAATTATTATCTACATTACTATTAATTACTATGATAAATATAATTTCTATAAGTTAATTACAACACAATGGTACCTAAATAATATTAAAAGTGCCTTATAACTCAATGTACGTATTCTATCAAAACGTCCGTGGCTTGCGAACTAAAACTAGGCAATTTCGATACAGTATAATTTGTAATAACTTCAACATAATGCTCATTACGGAAACTTGGTTGACTGATGGTATTTACAACGGTGAATTATGTGACCTATTGTCACATATTTAGGTATGATAGAAATAAAACATTTTCGCATAAAAAGAAGGGTGGTCATGATTTGTACGTATACACAATTACAAGCTCAAGAACGGACGGAAAAGATGTGTAGAGATCTCGAATGTTTGTGGGTAACAGTACCAGGAAAATATTTAAATTGTCAAGACAGACGTAATTTAAATATTGGAGTTGTTTATATGCCGCCTGATAATTATCAATCAAAGCGTTTAGATAATTTTACAGAAATGCTCACAAAATCATAACTCAATGTCCAAATGATCATTTTATAGTTGCCGGTGACTTCAACCTAGCGAATATATCTTGGTCCCCTTCAGGTCCCGTAATGCTTAAGCAAAGTCCAGTAGAATTACAAAATGCTGCAATAAAGTTAACTGATCTATGCAACTCATCAGGGCTAAATCAACATAATATTATTAGCAACAATAGTGGCAACGTATTAGACTTGTTTAGTAACATAAACATAGACGTTACCCGATCTCAAATATATCTTGTATCTGAGGATAAATACCATCCTTCTTTACTGCTCGACGCATCTGATCTGTTAATACCCTGCTTAAAAAATAAACCACGATCAAAATTAAACTTTAACCGAGTTGACTACGATAAAATAAATAAAACCCTCTCAGAAGTCAACTGGTCTTCCTTGTTAACTGGCAACTCAATTGATGTCGTAGTTCAAAATTTTTATTCCCAGCTATACCTAATAATTGACAAATTTGTACCTACTTGTTTATCCCATTCATCTAATTAACCTGTTTGGTATTCTAAATCACTAAGGCATATTATACGAGAAAAGCTCTTAAAACATAAACATTGGAAAAAATATAAAATCCCCGTGATTATGACGAATTTTGCATACTACGTACTAGACAAAAGAAATTACAGAAACAGTGCAATGAGCGTTACTTAGATAAAATGCAAAGCCTTCTAAAAAAAAGATCCTAAAATATTATGGTCTTATTTAAAATCTATACGTAATAGCAACTCTACATACCCTAATACACTAAAATTAGGAAATGAATCATACACAAATGAAACGAACGTGTGTGCGGGATTTAATAAATTCTTTGAAAGTGTTTTTCAAAAACCTTCTTCTTCTTACGATTATTTCCATGTTCCAAACGTTGAATCAAACGATATATTACATAATATATACTTTAGTACTAAAAATGTTTCTCGTATTCTACATACAATTAAAACCAATACAGGGCCTGGTAGCGATGGCATACCTCCCCTATTTATACATAAATGTGCAAAACACTTGGCCAAGCCTCTCTCAATAATCTTTAATAAATTGTTAACACCTATGGAACATTTCCTAGTAAGTGGAAAGAAGCTCTAATAATACCTATACATAAGAGTGAACCAAAAAACAGAATTGAGCACTACCGCCCAATCTCCATATTAAACACATTTGGAAAGGTTTTTGAAAAACTTATCTTTATACACATCAGTCCCATAATCTTAAAATCAATACCAACTGAACAACATGGTTTTATAAATAAAAGATCAACTGTAACAAATTTAGCTATTTTAACCAATTATATATATACGAGCATGGACGACAGGCAGCAGGTCGATGTAATATACACGGACTTTGAAAAAGCATTTGACCGTGTTGATCATGCCATCCTTTTGCGTAAACTTTACAATTTGGGTATTCATGGTGATTTGCACAGATGGGTAACTTCATACATAAGTAACAGAAGGCAAGCAGTGTTACTGGGTAGTACTCGCAGTGATTTTATTACGGTAACATCAGGTGTCCCACAAGGCTCAATACTCGGACCTTTGTTCTACAACGCCTATTTATTTGACATCAGTGACTGCTTCTATCATTCAAACTATTTAATGTTCACAGATGACAAAAAAATTTATCTAAAAATAAAAACAATTGATGACTGTGTTCTGATTCAAAACGATTTATAAAACCTAGAAAATTATTACAGCAAAAATAGAATTACTATCAATAGTGAAAAATGTGTCAAAATAACTTTCAGTCGTAAGAAACAGATCATAGATTACAAGTATTCAATTAACAATAAATCCATAAAGAGTGTATCATCAGTTAGAGATCTTGGTATCAGGCTGGGCTCAAAATTAACGTTCAATGAGCATATAGATAGTATTGTTGACAAAGCCTACAAGCAAATTGGATTCATAAAGCGCGTCTGCTACAATTTTAACAGTATTAATTGCATTAAAGCTCTATACTTTGCATACGTAAGGAGTGTTCTCGAATACGCTGATACAATCTGGTCTCCAAAGTATGCGAAGCATAAGCATCGAATAGAATCAATTCAAAAACTGTTCATTAAATTTATCTCATCAAAAGATCATAATAGTTTTGCTTCATACGAAGATGCTTGCAAATTTTACCGCTTAGATACCTTGGAACTCAGAAGACTTCAACACGATATGTTTTGCTACACGGTTTATGGTCTGGTAATATAGATTGTCCAGACCTGTTATCTAAAATATCGATACTAGTACCTAAATACCGAACTAGACATACGCCATTATTTCACGTACCACGAGCAAACACAAATTACGCAAAAAATTCTACTTTATGTCGTATTGTTCAAAACTATAATAAGTTTTACGCTGACTTGGATATTTTCAACCTATCCAAGAGTCGCATCAAACGTGATGTTGTCAACAAAAATAAGGCATAATCACACACACACACACACACACACACACACACACACACACACACACACACACACACACACACACACACACACACACGCACGGCACACACACACACACACACACACGCACGCACGCACACACACACACACACACACACACACACACACGGACGGACGCACGCATGCACACTTACTCAAACACACACGCACGCTTAATTATTAGTTGATAAAAATTGTGTAATCCCTATTGGCCTTACTATATGATAATATGTATTGTAAATACGATAAAAACGCTGTATTTACCTAAATAAATAAATAAATAAGATTCAACCAGATGGAAGCTCTCGGCAGGGGAGGCAGAACCAGATTGGACTCAGACAGTCGTCCTGGAATATACCCCTTCTTATCCTTATGCGGCTTTCCGCAGTCGTCATCCACTCGCCTAGATGACAGAGGATCGTACTCCACTGCCCCATACATTGCTCAAGGAAGTATTGAACTGTACAGTCAATCTTGTACAGCTCGACGACCCTCTTTAGCCATGTATGGGGCACCGAGTCAAATGCCTTTCTGTAATCTATCCAGGCGGAGGAGAAGTTCCGACGGTTGCATTTCACCACTTTTCTAATGAGCGCGTCAATGAGAAGTGGTTCCTTGGTTCCACGACCGCCGCCCCGACATCCATTTTAAGTGCGACATCACCTGATTTGAGTCCAGGTGATGAGTGATTTTCGCGCTCTAAATGGATATTAGTGTCTTGTAAATGGTCGGTAGACACGTGATGGGGCGGTATTTGCTCGGGTCTGTGGCAACCTTATCTTTAGGAACCAAATGAGTGATCCCAGTAGTGAAGAGGCTCGGGAGCGACTTCTGGTTGAGAGCCTCTTGGAACTGTCGGGCGAGCACAGCGTGACACACCATGAACCCCTTCAGCCAGTAGTGATGCAGCCCGTCAAGCCCCGGACTTTTCCAGTTCGGGGCCCTACGGACCGCCTCAGCTACGTCACCCAGCGTTATGATGACTGGGTCTATGGGCGTAATACCCACACACTGACTCGCCACAACTTCCGTCCAAGGGCCCTCGTTGTGGTTTACAGGCTCTGACCACAGGCTGCGCCAGAATGCGACCGTGTCGGCGTGATTTGGTGCTGGGCCCGTTCCACATACCATTGGTCACTCTAATGATTTATAGAGCCTCTTCTGATCACTATGGAAGAGACGATTCTGGTTGAACCGTGTCGACCTCTCGGTATATCGCCGAATGCGCTTTCCCCAAGCAGCGATTCTTTGCTTCAGGTCATCTATGCGCTCCGTCAGTTTTTGCATTATATCCGGCTGGGACAAACTAATATTTGTCCCAGCAAACGCCATCCTGACGGTGTGCACAATCCTTGGCCTGGTATTGCCTGACCTGAAGCATATCAGTCTGCCGATTAGGGCCCTAGCCTTTGCGATACGTTTTTCAATTCTTATTCTCCAGGCTGGGATAGCACTATTTTGTCCAGTAGCGCGTCCAGCCGTGGAAAGTTTGGCCGCAGACTGCCAGTACGGCGCCAAAAAGAATTGAGTCCGTCTCACAAAGGTCCCGGCTGGCTTCCAAATAGGTAACCAGCATTGGGTTCAGAGCCCTCACGACAGCCCGATTCCGCTTGCTTAAGGCTATGCGGCGAAGTCGCGGTCGGTTTTCGAGAGACGTTCTGCGCGTTTCCACAATCGCCTCTTCCATTGTACTCCTTATTTGCTCTAGTTCCTGGGCGACTGTTCCATCATCGTTTGAATCAACCACAACTAGGGTATTCACGGAGGCATCCACGTTTGCCGTTTGCTCAGAAAGTTGTGGCACCGCATCCTCAGCCGCAGCATTTTCACCCGATGGAGGACCAGCCTCACGTCGTAGCCGTTCGAGTCCGGTGACATCAAATGTATTTGAGCGCAAGATATACCGAACTCGGTCTGCCAGGTTTCGCTCGGTGATGGTTAGAGATGGCTCCATCTCAGCAAAAAGTCGATGCATCCTTGCCCGATACGCAAAACCTCCAGTTTCTCCCCCTTTCGCCCTAAAATACGCCCGCAATGCGTTGCTGTTCATCTGGGTTGTCCAACGCATGCGGCGTACTCCACCAGTGGCGGGTGCCGATTGCTGGGTCCGCGAAGACCCTGCAGATACCAACTGGGGGGATGATGGATGCGAGGGGCTGCTGGGTGGTCATGCAGCACCTCGCGCTCGGTTGTCGATTCACATGCTGTCGCGTCCAGCGCCAGCCCTAGACGCGCCCTGGCGACCTCCAGGCAGCGGCCCTTTGCGCGTTCTATTTAATTCCATCATCTATTTTTGAGGGCGTCATTTAGCGGGAGACGCCCAGACCCGGCGCCGTTTCATGGTGAGGCCATGTGCACAAGCGGGCCTTTGCACCTTCAATTTTTGCCGAGGCACAGCAATAACACCTCTTGGCAAGGTGCTGACTGTCTGCGCTGACGTAGCGGTTTTTTCACATAACCGTGACGTCAGTGGGCGATGGGGTCGTCACTTCCCTACGCCTATTTTATTATTACTATTATTTCAAGCTACGTTAGTGCGCTTTACCATCGTCGACAACATCTCCAATTACCATTGTTTACTAGTTGCACTAGTTGTACTTTTTAAAATAACAAAAATATGTTTTCTTCATAAACCATAGACTTGGAATATACTGGCGTATAAGTATATGTCATAAACAACCACCATGTTGGATACGTAGGTCATTCAATAAATTTTGAGATGCTCGAAATTTAAAAATGGAACGCACCCGTGTTAAATGTTTCTAAATTTTTTTAAAAATAGAATCCCATAAGCCAATTGCTCAATACCAAAAGAAAACAAAGTTCTATTAATTTCGCTTTTTTTAAAACGATGGATCTTAACCGTAAACATTTGCGTGCTATGATCTATTATGATTTTAAATTTGGTTTAATCGAACAATTAACTTTACAACGGTTACAATCAGCATTAGAGGACTCTCCATCACGCGCAACAATTTTTAGGTAGTTTGCTGAATTCAAAAGAGGTAAAATTAACCTTAAAGATGACCAAAAAACCGGGGCCTCGCAAACGGCAGTAACGACAGAAAATGTATGGACTACTGAAATGTTGGTGCAAGAAGACCCACGAATCACATATACGGACATTGAAAAGATTGTAGGCATTAGTTCGAGAAGAATTCGTACCATCCTATATCAACATCTTGGAATGAGGAAGCTTTGTTGTCAATGGATCCCTCGTTTGTTCTCCGATAGCGAAAAACAGACTCATGTGGATTGGTGCCATGAAATGCGTTTACGTTTTTAAAACGGGGCATCTAAGCGTGTTTCAGAAATCATTACTGGTGACGAGACATGGATTTACCAATACGATTATTACCGACAAAACTGCAAAGACCTCGCAACGTCGGCAAAAAAAATGATGGCTAGTTTTTTTTCTGCGGATCAGACATTTTTGCTAACGGCAATGCTAGAAAATTGTAAGTCAGTCAACTCCGAATGGTATACTACAGTTGCATTATCCAAAGCTTTTCAAGCTGTGCGAGAGAAGACCAAAGACCGGGCTTCGGGGAATCATGCTGTATCACGATAACGTCTCTTCACACCTCATTTAGAACAAAAGACTATTGAGGAATCTGGTGTTGAAACCGTTGAAACAAGGCATCCACTCTACAGCCCTGACTTAGCTCCTTGTGATTTCTTTTTATTCCCAAGAGTCAAAGAAAAAATAAAAGGTAAGTTTTTTTCAAGCGCCGAAAAAGCCGTGGCTGCCTACGAAGAAGTGATTTCCGACCTGTCAGATCATGACTGGCAAAAGTGTTTTAAGAGTTGGTTTAGGCGAAGGGAACTTCGTATAGAGCATGATGGAAAATATTTTGAAAAGATGTAAAATAAATATTAATAGTATGTAGAATACTTTTTATATATCTCAAAACTTATTGAGTGTCCTACGTAGTAGCCATACTCGTTTATTATAGTAAAATAGTCATAATATTATAATAAAGTATTCATATTTTCTTCTAAGCATTCTTGCTCTATAACGATCTTGTATTTCGACAGTAATGAAAACTAATTGTTAAAAAAACAAAGAACCCTGATAAAAAGTCCCTGATGACACTTCGACTGATCAGTTACTGGGGAGTTTTCTGTCAAGTAATTCTCAGCAGCAGATTGGAGTCCAGAAGGTGACGTACAACAAAGGAGTGGAATAATTTGCTGGCATCTGACTTACCACTTTTTCCACTTGATTACAATGTGGTTCAAAGCAAGTGTGAATAGCTTTTAAGCTAAGTCTGTGCGCTTTACCATCGTCGGCTGTCGTCGGATGGTCTTTGACCACCTCCAATTGCCATCATATGATATAGTAGTAATACTTGCTCATAATAGTAAACATATTCGTAGTATAATATAATATTCATATTTTTCTCTAAGCATTCTTGCTCTATAACGATCTTGTAAATACTAAAAGTATAAATATAAACATTTCGTGCAAAACTCATTACATTTATTTTAATATTTTATTTGAGTTAAACGGGAATGAGAGTTATAAAATAAATTTAATAAGTGAAACATGCGTATTTTAAGTAAAATTTTACATAATTTATTCAACCAGATTTAAAAAAGAATTAAGCAGAAAGGGTGTACACAACGTAAATATGTGTTGTGTTGCCAGATATCATGCTTTTTAATGACGCTTACACAACCTTTGAGTGTTCGACATAGTGCCTTTAATTAAGAATATGACTGCGGCTCATGTTCATTCTGACTTAATTTTGCAAAGTATTTGTACCTTTATCGTTGTTGAACCATTGATTAATTTTCCTTTATTACGATATATCGCTGTGTATTGGTGGCAAAATAGAATGCATTACTATCCGTGGATGTAGTAACAGGTGATAATAGGACATGAGAGAATAGATTAGCAGAAGCATCTTCCTAATAATAGCTCAAAAATATTTTTTACGTGGTAAAACTGTAGTAGAATATTATGGTTAAAGCACGAATGGGTCTGTTTGACCGTAGCATGACCAAGCACTCAGCGAAAACCAGGATAAAATAGTTTAATTCTGCTGTGTTTCGGATAGTGATTTTATGGAAACGGAGACCCTTTCTACTGGAAACATGTCACTCCATTTTTGACTTTAGAAGTAACAACACATCTGTAATTTGATACTTAATCGATTATAAATGTAGATGTCTTCAGCCACAATATCCTCTACCATCAAGTGGGCCCTGTGCTCGTTTATCACCCATGTTCTATATTAAAAACTGCAGTTCCCAAACTGCCTGCCAACACACTGATAAACACAGGTCTTCCGCAAGGAATGCCACAAATGTCGCGAGCCAACTGCATTCATCAAAGTAAGGTACTACCTTATACTTCGTATATCGGTACGAGGCTGGCACCCAAAAAACCTTTCATTCCTATCGGTTATTGTTTCTTTGAGCTATATAGCTTGCCTAGTGCCATTTTAGCGTACTAATCCCTATTAAGAGATCATTTTCTACCTTTATCTTCGAAATCCTTCACTCAGTCAATACAGGTTATTGAGAAGATCATTCTACTCTAGTTTAACCATGAGTAGGGAGTTCTATTTACACTTCGTAATCTTACAGAGTATGGAGGTAATTGAAATTGGTCGATAGTTGGCAGAGTCGGCACAGCTGCACTTTTCAGGCACAGGTGACATATTGGCTAGCTTCCAAGGTTTGGTCACCATTCCAGTCATGAATAAGAGGCGAAACAAGCGCGTATACCATACACCAGCTTTGTTCACTTCTAGACTTCGCAAGGTTTTAAGAAGCTCCTTGTTAGTGATACGAATCTTTGATACCGCAGTTAGGTTATTGAGATAGCACGCTGTTGCTACTGTCCAGATGCAAATCGCAAGCATAAAGGGAAGCAGATAAGTCCGCTTTCTCCTTAGCCGAATGCACTAATAAGCCATCTAGTTTTACCAGTGGAGGTAGTGTATACCGGCAGAAGTTTGTCTCGACCGCTATGGCGACAGACCGAAAATCTCTACTGCCAGATGGTTTGACAGAGTGCTTTGCACCGATGTGTTTAATTCAGTCGAAACTGGCTTATCGTAATGCTTTTTGCATAACTTGGCAGCCTAATTAAAAGCCCTCTTTCTATAGCCAACATCCGGAGCTTTGCGGTCTTGATTGTTGACTCAGGATAAGTACGGCATAGGCTTGTGCTTTTTAGCAAGAGCACACCCGGCTTTCACCATGAGCGAGCTTTACAACCAATGGTCACGTTAGCAAAAGAAATGAAATACTCCATTGCTTGAAGTATCACATAAGTAATGGCACCCGCGCAGCTCGACGGACCTTCAGACGAGAAGCAGACCTGCCGCCAAGGATATGATGCAAAAAAACGCCGCATCTTATCCTAATCTGCTGACTTGTATCGCCACATTCGATACATACATACCATGGAAATAGTAGGTAGGTGAGTGAGAAATTTATCTTGTTAGCAGTAAAACAGAAACTCGATAGTTTTTTTATTTACAAAGTTAGTATGCATAGTTTAGTAGTTAGTTTGTAGCCTCTGGTCTTATAGTTTATGCTATGATTTTAGGTATAATATTTTAAGATAAGAATGAAATAATTAGGCAATCTTCATCTTTCTAAAAGTCTTATTGTGTTTATGTTTTATATTGAAATTGTTAACGATTGACTGTGCCATAAAAAACATCGTCTTTAGAATGACTTTAAATGAACTTTATCCAAGAAACGTGGCTTTACTCGTTTACTGCAAGTAATTTATATACTAAAATAAAGGTCCCGATATCGACGTGTTCCAGGTTAACGGAAACAAATGGATGTCGAAAGGAAACTGCATTCTCTTTCACATTAATTTGCTCAAACAATTGATAGTGTGTACGGAGTTATATAGTCATAAAACTGTTGGTTTTAAGTATAAGGTAGATAAAGACGTAGTAAACTATTACTTTTTTATTACACTTCCTATTTAAAAGACAACCTATC